TTGAGATACCTAATCTTCTAATATTGAGATGCTACATTTCTCAATACCAGAGAATAGATATCTACAATTGAGATACCTAATCTTCTAATATTAAGATGTTTGATTTCTTAATATAAGAGAATCGATATATTAAACTTAGATATTTAATTCTCTTGTATTGAGAGTTTTACATTCCTCATTTTGATAAATTCCAGAATTTGAAATAAGAGCTTCTTACTTCTTATCTGGGGACCTTAAAATAAGAGTTTTCTTCTTAATTTAAGAAATCAAACTTTGAGAGTGAAAGTTCTCCAATACAACACACTATCGAATTGTTTGACAGGCTAGAACAAGTATTGAAGCATACTTGAATACAATAAAGCTCTTATATTTTATTTTATTCGTTTCTCAATTTCATACCGATTATTTCTTGATATCGTTTACAAATGACTAGAGTGATCTCGAGTACTCAGCAGCACTTTGACCCTTCAAACTGCACTAAATATCCACTAAGAAACCCAATACATCATTCCTGACTTACCTCACGTATCAGTTGAACAGAAAAAAGTCTTTCTGTGCAGGAAAATCAACCAAAATAACAAGATATTTGAAAGAAAACAAGAAGTAGCCTGCAGAGTAGTGCAGGCGTTTGTGCGATGGTTTGATGAAGAATCGCGATTATGGGGTTCCTGTTTCAACTACGTGCCCGCGAGAAAAATGGGCTCGTTTTCAATTTTCGCTCGTTCCAAATTTCCAAAGTTCCCCCAAAACCCCGGTTTTTCCCCAAACCCACAAGAACGCCTGCTTTGCACAAGGTCGCAATGACGGCTATCTTCTAAAGGAAATCCAAAGCTTATCATGTTCCAAAGCTAAAGGCGTGGACTCGATAAATGTGCAATTTCTTCAAGTCGGTTGTCAGGAACTAGTTTCACCCCTTCTTTACATCTMCGATCCGCAGTGGAAAACCTGCAAAATCACTCCCATATACACCTTTATTCAGTTAGAAAGATGTCATTTCCTATTTGCGATACTATACACTACCGAACAGACACACTAGTGCAGTCTGTTGCAGTCTATTGTAGTCTAGTGCAGTCTGATGCAGTCTAGTGCAGTCTGATGTAGTCCGATGCCGTCTAGTGTACCCTAGTGCAGTCTAGTGTTGTCCACTACAGTCTAGTGCTGTCTAGTGCAGTCTAGTGTAGTCTAGTGCAGTCTAGTGCCGTTTAGTGCAGTCTAGTGTATTCTAGTGCAGTCTTGTGCAGTCTAGTGCAGTCTAATGCAGTCTAGTGTAATCTAGTGCAGTCTAGTGTGATGCAATGCAGTATAGTGCAGGGTAGTGCAGTTTAGTGCAGTCAAGTGTAGTATAGTGCAGTGTAGTGCAGTCTAATACCGTAGATATACCATATGATTTATCTAAATTACTAGAAGACAATGGATGAGCGATTCCTGTATTTAGGAGCACGTGTGAGAGAAGAAAGCGTTGCGTGACGACACTGAAAGGCAAGCGGCTGATCCAAGCTCAAGGGCGCAYTTCCGGTTAGTATCAGCCAGTCAAGAAGCATTTTTGTAGCACGGCGTTCGACTGGACGGTTTTGGAAAAAGTATTAATGAAAATTCCTTTACATTTTTGGCCAAAATTTTTATTAAAACGATTGAAAATGCAGTTGGCTAACATGTGGTTGCCATACTTCTGCCGCTTTTTACTCTTCATGCCGCCCAAACATCTGTAGTCGTCTCTTCAATTCAGGAGCTTCTTGAACTTTTTATTCAATTAATGACAAGGAAGCTGGGATTAGGCCAAAATCTTAGTTATGGTAAAGATATAACAATAAAATGTTTCACTCAACAAATTGCTTAAATACTTGCTGCAGTCGTTGCTTGAACCTTGTTCAGTCTTCTTCAGTTCTTCAACATTTCTTTGTAGTTTATGATCAAAATATCAGTAGTAAAGGGAGAAAGAAATACCCAAACACCCCAAAATATAAATT